AGTTTTTGCGTATTTCATTTCATTCTGTAACCTACTTGTTCTACAGATCTGTGTGTACTAGTGTTAAATGCTACTGTTTTTGACAGTTTTATGATAGATAATATCATGATAATTTTTGCGTTTCCTTACCGAATGTCGTATCCTGTCAGCAAAAACCTGTCCATGGGCTTTTTTGATTGCTTTCAGTTTAAGTGCCGGCGATGCAGTGTTGCCAGATATTGATACTAAAACAAACAAAAAACTAAAAACATAAAAATAAACAGAAATTATTTTCAATCTTTTGCAAATAAGATAAGAAAGATATCACTGACTCTAAATTGCAACTTCCTACTTTATTAACTTTCTAAAGTGTTAAATTAAGTGGAAAAGACACGTCCAAAAACGCTTATAATAGCTGGATCTGGCATGGAGGAACTCTCTCAAGTCTCGTTCACTCCGCCAGCATCCTGCAGCGATAATTTTCATAACAGGGATGCTAAACATTCTTGCAAACTGTCTAAACTGAATTATACATGTCATGCAGGCATTCATATGAGGAGTTTAACAGCAAATTAGTCATTCGAAAGTCGTGGAAGTCGTGGCCTAATGGTTACATTACAGCGCTCCCTCCCACCTTCAATACCACGACTGAGGTGCCCTTGAGGAAGGCACCAAACCCCCAACTGCTCCCCGGGCACCGCAGCAAAAATGGCTGCCCACTGCTCTGGGTGTGTGTTCACTGCTGTGTGTGCGCACTTTGGATGGGATACATGCAGAGCACTAATTCCGAGCATGGGTCGCCACACGTCACGTCAAAGAACAAATTTTATTTTTGAACATGAAAAATTTACCGGTGGCCTCATTGCTGGTTACGGGCCTGATTGCTAGGGATAGAAAAAAAGTTAAATGCATCAGTAACTTAAATATCCTGTATTTATTGCATTTTATTTATTTAATGTTCCCTTAAAATATATATTTACATGGTCACATTGTAAAGTGTGTATAGTTATTAAACACTTAAAAGACACGTTATCAACGCTATCACCTCTTTATTATTAGGCTACCTTATCTTTATTATTACCTTATCAGCTCTTATCAGCTCAATAATGGTTTATTGAAGCCTGCCAACTGACAGTCCCCCAGGGTCTTGAACATTTTTTTTTTTTCTTTTTGACGTTTTGAAAAGTTAAACTTTTTTAACATGTCACAACATTTTAAAAATGCAGCATGAGCAGCTGAAAAGCAGTCTATGCTCAACAATCAAAGATGTCTGTTTAATGCCTGATGTTTTTCATCACCACTAGATTAGAATAATTGATATTAAAACCTACATATTTTGGTGTTATAATGTGAGTGAATCTTAAAAAAAGATCAGGGCTTTGGACAATACATCATGGGCTTAAGCCCCCAAAGTAGCTACACACCAATAACAGATTACAAGGGGTCAATACGTCTGTGGTTATCTTCTGAGCTGTTTTGCGATGTGTCAGAAGTCTGTGTTTTTTTTAATAAAAAAATAGTGCTCCATTATGACCACTGTTGATGATGAACCATTACGTTGCAAATTTCTGATGTGGATATGCACCTTATTTTGCAATGTTGAAGTAAGCTATTTTTCAATGTTTTCTATGAATCTTGTTAGACTTCCAATTCATTAGCCACAATAGTTTAATAAATAGTAGAATAACAGTGCAGTAAACTGTAAAAATAAAATAATAAATGTGTGGCAGCAATGCACCCGCATACTTAAGCTCGTTTTTATATGTAATTTAATAATTACTATGATTATCTTTGAAATTTGGTTAAAGTGTACTGTCCAGAGCATTTATGGCAAACTAAAATATACTTTAATTTAATTTCTATCGAGACGTCTGTCATGTATTTATATATATTTGAATTTACACATATGTAATAATGAAGTTGCAATTTAGAAAATTAAAAATATATTAATATAACACACTACTAAAATGTACTTTACATATGCTTTAGAACAGGGGTGGCGAACTCCGGTCCTGGAGAGCTGCAGCCCTGCAGAGTTCAGCTCCAACCCTAATTAAAACTCACCTGCCTGTAGTTTTGTAGTAAGCCTTTAGACTTTGATTAGCTTGTTCAGGTGTGTTTGATTAGGGTTGAAGCGAAACTCTACAGGGCTGCGGCTCTCCAGGACCGACGTTCGCCACCCCTGCAGAATGTTAGTCAACACATCAAAATAAGTTTACTTTTTTAAAGCATGACAAATTATTGTTAAAATGTAACATTACAAAGTGCACTTTTTAAACGTTTTAAGCACTTTTTGTGCTTAAAGTGTGTTAAGAAATAGTCATGAAAATGTACTCTCTTTTGGTATAGACGCCTTGTATTTCATTAAGTACATTTAAAAAAAAAAAAAATTGAATTACATTACGTGCATATTAAATACAATTAAGTATAATTTTTTTAAGGAAAGAACTTGCTCTGCCAATAAAATTACTTTCCTTTTTAGTTGACATGAGATTTCTTGTTGATAATGATGAGCTGGCATAGGATGCAAATAGACAGAAGGTTTGTATCTGATGTCATCTGAAAAGAGGCACACCCATCCTCAAATGTCAATTAATTTGCACACAATATAGACCCTTTTCACAGTGACGTCAGCTAACTTCCGCTTCCCCGCAAAGCAGTGTATCTGTACTTCCGTTATACCTTTACACCGGAGACTTCTCAAGAAAATATAGGAAAAACATCTCGGTTACGTATGCAACCCTAGTTCCCTGAATAGGGAACGAGATGCTGCGATGACGTCATCGCTTTGGGAACATCTCCGGTGTGACGAATGTCTGAAGCCCTTATACCATCACGCCAATTTATTAGCCAATAGCGCTTAGCTATTAGCATACGTCACGTATGCTCATATATGCGTGCTGCGTGCTATTTCATCAGATTTTACACTATGACGAAGGAAGCGCTATCAAGGTACGGAACGGCCCAGCATCGCAGCATCTCGTTCCCTATTCAGGGAACTAGGGTTACATACGTAACAGGGATGTTCCCTCTCATAGGTAACTTCAATGCTGCGATGACGTCATCGCTTTGGGAACGCTATACCATAACGCCTGACGTACCTTCAACCGCAGAACTGGAACAGCGGGGGTTGAACGAACATCTCCTTCCTCAGAAAGAGAGCAGCCCAGAGTGCAACTTACTCACAAACACAGATATCACGGATACAACAATAGATAAAGGCCGCAAAGCGGTCTTCCTACCTGTTTCCTCGTGGGTCTGTGTAACATGCATCTACACATATTGGAAACTCATTGTGTCCGCCTTAGAGGAGTAAACTGCTCTATATAAATAGATGGCTTAGAACACAAGAATCTCTTTCCAACTGGCAACAGATGATTCGCTTCCTGAAGGAATTAAAATCTGACGAAATAGCACGCAGCACGCATATATGAGCATACGTGACGTATGCTTGGGGCAGTGCTAAGCGCTATAGGCTAATAAATTGGCGTGATGGTATAAGGGCTTCAGACATTCGTCACACCGGAGGTGTTCCCAAAGCGATGACGTCATCGCAGCATTGACGTTACCCATGAGAGGGAACTTGAAATATGAAAGGCGTTAGTTAAGAGTTAAGACTAAGAATGTTAATGTACTTACAGTCGGGTTACTTTTGCGAACGTTTTTCCGCATCTGCTTTAGATGGGTGGCTTGCTTACCGCAACTGCTTGCTTTCAGATTTGTGTGACGATTATGTGTCCACACAAAATACATACTTGAAACCATTTCACTTGTTATTTCGGTTTATGTCATTCCTTGGATAATTTGTGAGTACACTGTAAATTAAATTCCCTGTATATTTCGGCAATAAAAAGACAAACAACGTGATTTTGTTATTATTTACTATGGGAAAATGACATGGACACAAGTCATATTTTTTATATTAAATATTTTTACTACATGGCAAGTTTCACATCCATAAAAGCAAGTGGTCTGAAAAGAAACTCATTATCCAGTTCAGGAATAAAATGCTCAATATTGAAACAATACAAAAAGGACAGTCACGTAGTTCTACGGAACTTTGGACTTCTACAATTACTTAAAGTCCTCCATTCAGTTTCGCTTTAACTACATGTTTACCGTATTTTTACTTTGTGAATTATTATTGATTAATATGATCGATCATATTTTATTTTCGTTATAGGCTATATGCAATGTGATCTTTAAAAAACAGCTATGACCTGTGTTTTATATTTATTTACACAAATGCTGGCATCTGTTTTTAACTGTAAAAGCTTTTTATATAAACTTAATATATGTAATATTTCTGAATTACATTAAATAATAAAACGGAAAATTATAGACTCCATTTTATTGATATTTAAATAGTACAAGCTTATGTTGAACTATTCTTGTACATACAGGCGCTGCATTAAGCAGAACCTAAATTACTGAATGAAAAGGCTTTCTGTTACCACATGTAAATATCTAAAACGTTTGTTTATTTGAGAAATATATCTAACCAACTTCATCTAACTGCAATAAAGACAGCAAACAGTGCGCGAGAGTCGCGGGGATCAGTGACTGACTGCAATGCTCCGTTTTCAACTCCTTCCTCGACTTCAAGCGGCAAATCTCGCCGATCGGTAAGTTCGTTTGAGATGCCAGACGTCTCTCCCTGAATGAGGACGAGAATAGACCGCAGCAGTCATCCTCTAATCGTGTTTGTAGCAGTTGTACAAGCGTCTGGGTGAACACCATGCTGGTATCGATAGCGCTTTACTATGCTGGCGGAAGTAAGAATACCCTGCTTTGCGTCAGAACGGAAGTTGCGTGACGTCATGTGAAAAGGGCCTATAGTTTTGAAATGGCTGTTTGATGATCCAAGACAGGTACAGTGACAACCAAAAGAGTTGTTGTCAACTATAAGATGTGATGGAACTGTCCAGCCTCAGGTCTCACATGCAAATGTGACATTCGAGGTCTTGAGAGAACGGCATAGACTAAATACTGGGTGTTTCAGGTCTGACGACATCAGGCGGGCGTGGTTTGAGCGCAAGGTCAAGGAGCATGCGCAGTTTACACGCTCCGTATGAAGCCTGCGAAGCGGCGATGATCTCGTTGGTACTCAACGGTTTGTTTAATTTTCTCTCATTTTAAATATGACTGATCTGATGTTAAATGTTAAAAACTGCGAAAGAAGTATTTTTGTTGAGTGAAAGTACAAGTTTTACTCTGGTTTTGTGCTTGGTGTCTCGGGTTGTATGTGTGTGTGCTTGGTGTCTCAGGGTGTGTGTGTGTGTGTGTGTGTAAATAGACCTTTTATGAGTTATAAAATATTGAAGAATCACCTGAAGAGCATATACGTTTTATATATATATATATATATATATATATATATATATATGTATATGTACAGGGTATGCTGTGACATCTTTTTTCACATTGAGTTATTAATATGAAAATTATTCTTTGTATTGTTCAGGTTTTCTTTGTGCATTATGGCAGACCAGACCAAAACTACTCTAGGTGAGCCCAGAAAACTATGAAATCAAGTTGAAATTGATAATAACATTTTTAGGGCTTTCCACACTGTTATTAACCCTGGGTTATTGCTGTTTTAAACCCCGGGTAAAGCAACAGTTTACACTTGCAATTTAGAAGCAGTGTTAGCACCACTTTTTACCCTGGGTTATGAAAACCTGCCCTGGATCAGCATTAGCACTGCTTTTATGCTGTTAACCCCTCATTGCGGTGCCAAACATTTCCAATGTTACAGCTACTGTAGATGCATATTCACATCTTTTGGACAGTCACAGAAACAGCACTGAGTGTATAAACAGTATTTTCTGCAGAAAAAATATTGAGTAATGATGGAAAACACATGAATTGGAGTTAAGAAGAGGGCATTTCATTTTTACCTTTATATTCCAAGAAAAGTCCATTAAGGAAAAACTGGCTGGTAAGGTCTGCAGTCTATAATACGAGGTTGTGCAATGCCAGAGCCGTTATGTAAACAGGTCCTGTGCTGCAGTTTTTGACATCAAAGTACCATGACAGCTGTAGAGAGCAGACGGTTCTGTATGCTTTCGAATCACTCTCACGGTACTTTGATGTCACAAACTGATTGGTCTGCACAGTGCCACTTCAAACCGAACACAACTAATGTTAATCTGGGGTTTATAAATGTACAGTGTGAAACGACAGTTTATGAATATCCAGGATGAATTGTTAACTCCGGATAAAGTATGTGCCGTGTGAAATAAGAAAACCCAGGATTCCCTTTACCCAGGGTTTAGAATGACCCAGGTTTCACTATTTCATATGTGAAAAGCCCTTTTTCTTTTTAATAAATAAATGGACATCTTTTATGTGGCATTAATTATTTTTAATTTATCTGTCCAGAATGCTCTTGCCCTAACCAGAACCATCAATCCCAGACAGCTGACACAACGCCATGCATTGGCAATGAGGAAGTTTGTGTACCACAAACTGAAGCAACATTACTCAGACTTCCAGCTGTAAAGTATTTTTCCTGTGCTTTGGTTAAGACACCAGTGAGTGCAAGTTTCACATTTTGGTGAAAAATTAATAAATGCCTCTTTAAGGGAACATACTTGACATACTTGATTTTCTATTTTAAACAAAACTGCTTTATTAAGCTTCTCAAAAAGGTTGATAAAACACAAAAAACACAAAAGATGGAGATCAAACTGCTTTATTAAGCTTCTCAAAAAGGTTGATAAAACACAAAAGATTTGTACAGTGGAGATCAACCTACAATTTCCAAAATTTCAAGGTCACTGCTTAGTCCTATTTGAAGTTATCCTAACAGGGGTAGAAGGGCAGTTTTTAAGCATATTTCATAAATTAATTGTATTCTGAAGCACAGTATAAAAAGCTTATATGAGATATTTGAAAAATAACTGATCAAAATTAGAAAACACACATAGTTATCTGTTAATCTGGCACCTGGTGCTAATGTCTTTATTTATATGACAAACCCTATTTAACTGGCAGCATTCCTCTAATTTTCACTGAGATTGCAAGACAACGGGCCGCTCTAAGGTGACTAAAACCTTTCGACAGGTGGTTGTCTAGATGAAAGCTAAAGGGATGAACCTTTCAGCCACTGCAAGAGAAGCTGGTCGTTCCAAATCTGTGATTTCTCGAATATTGTAGGTTCAAGTCCCCCCAAAAGGCTTGTCGTCCACGTCCAGCTGGAATTGCTCACCAGTTCAGCGCTGAACAGGGTAAGGATCTGTCTCAGCACGTTTAAGAGAAGTCGGACTGAAAGCACACTTTGCAGTGACGAAGCCTCTCATCAGCAGAAAGAATCAAAATTCTAGGCTCACCTTTGCTGAGGAGCATGTTGTGTGGAGAGAGGAGAACTGGTCCAAAGTTCACTTTACTGATGAGGGCAAGTTTAATTTTATTTGGGTCAGATGGGAAATATTTTGTTCGCCGTCAAACTGGGGAAAGACTGAAGCACGAGTATGTAAAGAAGTCATTAAAAGGTGAAGGAGGAAGTGTCATGGTTTGGGGATGTTTTGTGCAGCAGGAGCTGGGCCTCTTATACAGACACATGGCAGAGTGAATGCAAATGTTTATCAGAACCTCCTACAGCAACATGCAGTTCCTTCTATATATACACACACACACACAGTTTTGTATATAAAAAATATTTGATAAGTAGAAAGTTCAAAAGAACAGCATTTATTTGAAATTGAAATCTTTGGTAACGTATCTTTACTGTCACTTTTGATCAATTTAATTTATCCTTGCTGAATAAAAGTTAATAAAAAATATATACTTACTGACCCCAAACTTTCAAACTGTAATTTATAATGTTACAGAAGCTTTCTATTTTAAATAAATGCTGTTCTTTTGAACTTCCTATTCATCTGTGAATTCTTAAAAAAGAAAAAAGTTGAAATTGTTCAAAAAACTATTCAACACTGATAATAATCAGAAATGTTTCTTGAGCAGCAAATCAGCATATTAGAATGATTTCTGAAGATCATGTGACACTGAAGACTGGAGTAATG